CTCGAATTTTCAAAACTAACTTTTTCATAATCTAATTATATTTTTAATAGCTATCTCTGACACAATTAAATCCAATTTATCAATTGATCGACGGCGACGACGACGAGAACGAGATAAGTCATAGAAAATTGATCGATATAATAAAAGAAAAATTGCAAGATCAAAATAGATCAAGTTTAACGACATTGAAGAATCAATTATATTATGCTAAACATTATCGTGAAAGAGGTCGCTATACTTATCTAACTATATATTTTAGATTACATAAATTATATATTACCATATTAACAATTTCAATTTAAGAATTTTATATTAGATGAGATAATCAAAAAACATAGGATAAGTCTTCATCGTAAAACGACGCCATTGGTTACTGAAATTTGTGAAACGGAAAAAGTCGAGAATGATCATGAAATGGAGAAACTCTATCAGAAAATAATCATAGTTATTACACTTTTAAGTGGTCTCGGTAATCCTGCTGTAACGAACACTTTACGGTGAAACTAAATTATTATCTATAACGTACAATCTCTCTCTCTCTCTCTCTCTCTCTCTCTCTCTCTCTCTCTCTCTCTCTCTCTCTCTCTCTCTCTCTCTCTCTCTCTTTCTCTCTCTCTCTCTCTCTCTCTCTCTCTCTCTCTCTCTCTCTCTCTCTCTTTCTCTCTTTTTTCTGTATATATATATAAAAAAAAAAAAAGTAAAACAATAAAATAAAATTCAAAAAAAAGAAATAAATAAAATAATAAAATAAAACTTATGTTTTTAGAGAAGTAACAGCTACGTTGCAAAGTGTATTTCAACCATCCGAATTGTCACATTATGTGAAACTTCCTAAACAGGAAAAAGAAGAACAACTTATGGAATTGATGTGTATAGTTGCCGGTATACGTTTATTTAATCGAGATTGCGAACGTGGCGGAAAAGAAATCGATAATCGTAAGAAATAAATTATTGATAACTAATTTCTTTGAGCTCAATAAAAACAATTTGGTCATTGCATGATTCATGAATATTTTTTATAATGACAAAATTGGAAATATGCTTTCAATACTTTTGATTATTATTTCCGAGGCATCAAAGAATATACGGTATTTTTTTTTTTTTTAGTCAAAATTTGTCATTCTGTATAAATGATGGCTCCACAAAATGCCTTAGGATATAGCGTACCCCAATTACACAACTATATAAATTATTTTGAGATGTGCACAACTTGGATTAATATATTTTACGCATTATAATTATATTGTTTATATTTTGTCTTTTTATTTTATAGTTCCGAGTATTTTACAAGATGCCGTTAAGAAAACGTACGATGATATCCTTGAATTATTGGAACGATTAATGACGAAAATTTATGAATTTACTGCGACGATAGAGAATATCATTTCTTTCGTTTCGATCGACGAGGATTACGACGACATTTGTTACTCGAGTGTAAAAAAAATTATTTTACCTGAAAACATCAAGGAAGATAATTACGAACGAGTTGTCGAAATTTTAACGACGTCGCGCCAACAAGAGATATATATCAGGAAAGTATAAAAAAAAAAAAAAAAAAAAAATTACCAATCACTATTTTATTATATCATTGGATAATTATTTTGTTATAATTTTTTTCTTACAGAAAATTACTTTCCGACGTGGAACACAGTGGTAACATTATAAAAAATTTAATAGAACGTCTTCAACAACGTTTGATGAGACTTCATGAAACGATGCGTTACAGGACAGCCATTCCAACGACTCAAGTCTATGTAAGTTATAAATAAAAGATATTCTTTCTTTTTTGTTCTTCTTCTTCTTCTTTTTTTTCATTAAGAAATATATTAAATAAATAATAAAACCAATTTTCTTTTTTTTGGTCTCATATCTCCATTTACAGCCACAGTTCATTGACCTAGCGGATATATGGATGGGATTGCAGGATGAAGTGATAATATTAAGTAATATTAATAATTTCCTTTGGGAGATATACAATTTAAATATTAAGGTAACACAAAAAGGTTCACTTTATTTCTCAACAAAATCGTATTACAAAGGACCCTCGGAGCACTTCATTAATTTTATTTTTTCGCAGAATGTAAACGTGTACGATCAAGAGATATTCAAGGATCTCATAATAAAGAATGTAAACATATTAACGGACGCCGAACGTCTCGAACTGTCAATGGGCGAAACGATAAGTAATAATAAATATTTCACAAGATATCTACATTGTCCATAAAAAAGAGAAAAAAAAAAAGAAAAAAAAAGAAAAAGAGAAAAAAAAAGAAAGAAAAAAAAAAGAAAAACCCCCAAAAAAATTATATTTACATCGTCGCAAGTAATATATTTTCATTGAAATTTTCAGCAAATTGTGGTGATTGTACTCTTTATTATCCGAACACTACTAAGGACTTTGATAAAATTGATTTGGAGGTAAATGCAATACCAATATCAATTATAGTATAATACAAAATTACATCACATAATATACGTAGTAATATCGCTAACGTATTTAACGGATCATATTTTATATCGTTGAGTTTCTCGGCTTTTGCGCTTGGATGTTCGTCACGGGGAAAGGAGCTTTGATTCCAGCAAATCCCAACAATGGGGTTGCTAAATGGCGAGGAAGGTATTATGCTTTCAGTTCTGCAACAGCTGCTCGTCATTTTGGAAAGGAACCAGATAAGTGTGTGAGCTTTACAAATGGAAGTAGTCTGTAAAATCTTTTTTCTTTTTTTTTTTCATCATCTTTCTCCAATTCGTTGCAGATACGTTCACGAGGCTCTAAATTTTGTAAGGGATCACATAGAGTACATTTATCTATTTCAAATGTATGAGGATATCGAAACTATGAAAACTAAGGAGTAAGTTGCTAATATATATATATATATATATATATATATACACATATATATATATATCGTCCTTGAAAATAATTTCACGCTTTAAATATAAATATATAATTGATAAGGTTAACAGAAGATGAATTAGAATTAAAGACTTGTCAGGATCAGACAGTTCAAACCGATACGCATATTTTACCACCATCAATGGATAATACAAATAACGTTTGGAATGTTTGGGAACTTAGAAAAAGAGCTCTCTCTTTGGTGATCTAAGAGTTTTTCCTTATCGTAACATAATTATATATTCGAAGAAATTTACGGACGGACGTTAATTCATTATTATTTATTAATATTAGGCGAAAATAGTAAAGTGTGCGACGAAAAGCACGCAGACTTATATATCACACTTTAGAAGCGGTGCCTGCGTGCAAGCAGCACCACCAAAGGACAAGGAAGTTCAAACTAAACGGGATAACTATATGAACACGAAGAAACTTCTCACTTATATTTTTGGATTACGAGGAAGACGCGACAACAACCAACACGTTCTATCTTTCCTGGAAGAGGAATTTGTTGAACACTTATAAAGCGAAACACTTAGACCTCCTTTTTCAATTTTATTTCTTTTTTTCTTTTTCTTTTTTATTTTTTTCCTTTTTTTTTCCTTTATCGTAATAAAACTTACACCAAATAGGTATGTAAAAGAGCGTTGGCGTTTCAATACAAAACTGATAAAAATTCGTCATCGTCGTAGCCGTCGTCATCGTCGTCGTCGTCGTCGATTGATTGATTGATTGATCGATTGACTTTATCGTTTATTAAAAATTACGGGGTAAGAAGGTAAATTATAATAACGTGGAAATAAATGTGAACGAGAAATATTTTTATAAAAAAGATGAAAGCAGTACTTTTTAATGACACGTTTTTTTTAAATACATTCACGGAACAGTACGTTGTCTCGAGCCATGTTTCCTCTTAAAGAGAGAAAAAAAAGAGAGAGAGAGAGAGAGAGAGAAAAAAAAGAAAAACAAAAACAAACTATTATTATTATTATTATATGTATCATAATATATAATTTTCCGTGTACACATATCTTATTTTTTCGTGTAATGGATTTCATTTACGCAAAAACTGTTCGCTATGAATTTCTCCCGTGTGACTTTTCTTCCCATCGAGATAATATATAGGCCAGAGCACTTTCTTAATTTATATTCAAAATACATAAATTTTTCCACCACGCCGATGAGGAGCGGACAACATACCGTAAAACCCGGAATTTATTTCCACACCTCGCCCCGTGAGAGAGCCTATATTTATTCCTTACTTCTTCATATTGTGCTGTGATCATTCAAGCACATTATTATTATTATTATTAATATTATTATTATGTTTGTTTTTTTTTTGTATGCATACGTCATTAATTTTTACTGAATACATCACTTTAGGATTAGATCTTAAAAGTTAGGTCAATTTTTACACCAAGAAACCTATTATTACGACAATAATTAGTAATTACACGATAATACAATTAAACTTCGCTTAAGAATTAATTTCAATGTATAATGTAGCTATTATACAGAAGAGGTACAGGATGTTGATTTTCCATCGTTTATCTGTCCGCTTATTTCTTTTTTTTTTTCTTTTTTTTTTTATTTTTATTTTTTTTTTTTTTATTTATTTATTATTATTTTTTTTCCTTCCATCCTTCCTTCCTTCCTTCCTTCCTTCCTTCTTCTTTTAACTCTATTTAATCAACTTTTTCCACGTATTTTCTTTACCCTTTGGTGGCAAAAACAATTTATCCCTATGCATCATCCACTCTCAAAGAATAAATCAATAATGAATCTAAAAATAAATTGAAAACAACATAAAATATAATAACCGAGCGGACTATATATGAACTACAGAACGCACAAGATCACGTTAGAATGGTTTATGCCATTGGGCGGCCATTGTTTATCGAAGTAGAACTTTCTCAAAGGTAATAAGATAAGAGTTAAGTTAATGAGATAATGATGTCACATAATAAAATTAACAATAATTTTAAAACAATATTCAGACGTTTTCAACCTTATTATTCTTCTGTCTGAATATTTTCATATGAACATCTTATTTTCATAGCCACAATACATCTTTACTGAATAATTCATGTTAAGTATATTAATAATGAGACGACAACGCGCAGATTAATAAGTTTTAATTCTGAATGTAATAAAATAAGATCAGTTTAATAATCCTTGGCCACCATTAATTATTTTTCATATTTTGAAATCATTTTGAACGATCTTGATAACAGCTCTAAGTTCCTACCTACAACATTAAAGGACGTTCGTTTAAACTTATTTGCCTTTTCGACAACTCGACTATGCCCATAAATCACAGAAATTAAATACAATATTTAGAAGAGAGAGAAAGTGAGAGAGAAAGAGAGAGAAAGAGAGAGAGAGAGAAAGAGAGAGAGAGAGAGAGAGAGAGAGAAAGAGCTGTTATCATGATCGACAGAGCACATCGGAATGATGTAAACATGGCTAGTCTTATTTTCAAATATGTTTTTTGTGTTCATGTATATGTATTTATGCATGTATTGTGTGAGAAAGATGGAGAGGCGCACAGTCCGCCTTGGAATATGTTATACAATGTTTATAACCTGTCAGAGATCGGGATTGAGTGATTTAATTTAAAAAGTGATTTTTGAGGTATTTCATCATACCAAAGGTTCTAAAACGCTTTACACCAATAATTTTCATTAATTCATCGTCACAGATTGCAAACTGTTTGTTTTTCGGATCCTGTAATATAAACAACGTTGCATAAAAAGTAAAGTATATATATGTACATACATATATATATATATACATATATATATATATATATATATATATTTAGTACTAGTCAGAATTAAATAAAAATATGATGTGTGTGTATATACACATGTGTATATATATATATATATATATTACATGTATATATTACATATATTACATAAAGAAATATGAATACTCACATAAAGATTCCTTTCTTTGATAATACTCCATACTTTCCTTACAACTTCATGTCGAGCCATTTGATCTGCACCAACAACAGCTGCTAGTTCTGGAGACAATGTAATAGCACGAGTATAACCTCCACCTTTACCTTTACCACTACCTTTCTTAGCAGTGCTTCCTGGAGCTTTTTTGTTTTTGCCCCAGTCCTCATCGCTATCACTATCGCTACCTTTCTTCTTGCCTTTTTTACCAGGTTTTCCTAATACGATTAAAAAATAAAATGTATTAAAAAATAAAGCTTTGAAAAGTAAAATTTTTTATACAACTTTTATACCTTTCATACCTTTCTTAGGTGTTGCCTTTGGCTTCTGTGGACTATATTCTTCATCACTAGCATCTTCATCGCTAGCACTTTCTTCATCAGCAGAGGAATCTTTCTTACGCTTACTAGATGTTTTCTTAGTAGGACTTCTTTTAGCAGGCTTCTTTTCCTCTTCTTCTTCTTCCTCCTCCGAACCTTCTTCTTCCTCCTCCTCTCCATCCTCTGACTCTTCACTTGCAGCCTTCTTCTTTTTCTTTGCACCATCTTGTTTTTCTTGTAGACACTCCATCACTAAATCATCTACTTCCTTTTTTCTATATATAGGCAATAAAGGACATATGCATGTATAAGAAATTATTATATACATATCTTTAATTTGAAAATTATAATAATTCTTAAGTATGTGCCCTCAGAATGAAAATAAAACTGTTTGAGGTGGAACGAGATGAAAATTTGAAATACAATTTCCATTCAGATTTCCCCATTTTACTCTTGGATACAGAATACTCACTCCTACATTAGATGAATAAGCAGAAGTACCTGCTGCATCCAGCATACGTATTAATAAAACTTATAATAAAAAAAACTATTCAAAAATAACTTTATTCTTTTCATTTCAATATATGTATATCTTGCTTACCTTTCTGTGAGATCGACGTCCAATTTTTCTTCTATCTGTTGCCTTACTTTCTTTGCAGACATTGTAGTAAGGTCAGCATCTTTCAGAATAGCTGAAAAATATATAACAAATAACAAAGATATTTTATAAAAGTATAAAAATGATTATAAAGTTCTTTAAGAAAAAAGATTCTAAAGGAGTTTTATTTGTGTTAATGTTATATGAATGGTTATTATATAGCATTGATTATATCCACGAATATATTACCATAATTAGAATAATTACTGCAGAACAAAGTTCTAACGAAGTATCTTAGCGAAAAGATTAAAGGAATGATAAGTTTCCGGAGAATTATTATCTACAAGAAGCAATACATATATATATATATATACACACATGATTTCAGTTCTATTTAATTTAATTAATTGCCTTAAAAATGTTGGCTATCATAAAATAGAAGGAAAACATAAGCAACAATTTGTGTACAATTTGAGTAAAGGTATGCACTATTAAAACATTTCTTCTCTCTTTGCTCAATGAATAAATTCAAAATGAAAAAAGAAGAAAAAAAAAAAAAAAGAAAAAAAAAAGAAAAAAAAAGAAAAAAGAAAAAAAGAAAAGAGAGAGAAAAAAGAAGAAGTTATTTAAAAAAACCGACAAGTAGTATATCGCATAGCAATGAAAATGACTAGTTCAAGTTCATGATACATATATAAACTCATATAAGGCAATCGGATTTCCCGCCGCGGGATTCGATAAATACAGAGTGCAAATGGCGGACCATGATCATGCCGGTTGGACGATCTCGCGCGAATCCGATAATGAAAATAAGTCTGAAAGTAAACGGACAAATACGGATTAACGTTGTTAAATGTAACGATGATGAATATCTATTATTTTAATCGAAGTATCAATCTGAAGTCATGCGCTATACGCTGAAAGAAAAACTACAAACCTCTTTAAAGTAAGGGTATATAACCGTCGATCGTCGATGATAAAATCAACCTCTCTACTTCCTCTCTTTCTCTCTCTCTCTCTCTCTCTCTCTCTCTCTCTCTCTCTCTCTCTCTCTCTCTCTCTCTCTCTCTCTCTCTCTCTCTCTCTCTCTCTCTCTCTCTCTCTCTCTCTCTCTCTCTCTCTCTCTCTCTCTCTCTCTTTCTCTCTGTTTGTCTCTCTCTGTCTCTTTCTCTCTGTCTCTCTTTCTCTCTCTCTTCGAAAAAAAATATAAAGAAAGGAAAAAAAAACGAAAATACGACGACATTACGTGCTTTGTCATCGCTTTTCCGTCTCTCGTGACGATCATGAATGACTATGGCGGGAAAGGACGGATTATGGGTGTAAATACTCACGTAGTTGAAGGGTTGCACGCTCGCTTGAAGCGTTGGTAGGTAAGTAGGTAGGTAAGTAGATAGATAGATAGACAACGACGACGATGACGACGACAACGACGACAACGAAGACGAAGACGAAGACGACGAAGACAACGACGACGACGGCGACATGATAATGATAATGATAATGATAATGACGACGACAAAGATGATAGATCAGCAAAAATTGGAAAACAATAATGTGAAAAATAACATCGATGAGATCGAAAGTAAAAAATAATGGAAGAAAACTAAGGTTAAAGGTGAAACCATCGTATATAGGTGAATTAATAGTAGAAACATCGTATTCGAATAAAACGCAACGTAGAAAGAGTCTCTGTGAAAAAAGAGAGAGAGAGAGAGAGAGAGAGAGAGAAAGAGAGAGAGAAAGAGAGAGAGAAAGAGAGAGAGAAAGAGAGATGATAATAGGCGCGCGGCGTAAGAAGGCGCCTTCGCTCGCGCGCCACGAACGCGTCGTATATAGCGGGCGGAGGAAGGCACCTAACACGATAGAGGGAAAAAGAAAGCTCGGGTTTGCCGTCTTAACCAATGAGAAACGAGGATTTTTTCTTTTCTTTTCTTTTCTTTTTTCTTTCTTTCTTTCTTCTTCCTTTTCTTTTACTTTTTTTCGTTTCTTTTTTTTTTCCCCTTTCTTCCTTTCCTCCTTTTTCTTTGCTCTCTTTCGAAAAATTCGACGAGGAAAAAAAATTTTTCTCTTAGGACCGATAGAACACGTACCAACGTAAAATCCGATATATCTAATGTAACGAGACGTAACGTCTATCATCCTCGTATAGATGAAAAATACTACGGGGTCGGCGATTAGTAATGGCCGGCGTGGGGCACGCCACTTGGCCACATACGTGCGCGCTAAAGTCGTCACGTCGCAAGAGGAAAGAGCCTGTTTTACTATTCATTCCGATGTACGGGTATACACGTAATTTGTCGTAACAATCGTTAATATCTCATATAGGACATAATCACGTCTCGAAATTATTTATATCAATGAATATCGTTACTTACCGGTGATCTCCTTACGGATCTCGTCCTTGGAGATATCGGCCATGGTAATGCTTCTCGTTGTGCGTACTGCTGCCAACTGAACCTATGCCGGCTGCGGACTCCCGTAGCGTCCGTTGGTACAGTTACTCGAAAAAGTGAAACATTGCGCGTTAGGCTTCCCTATCTTTAATAACGGATAACTCAACGACGATAGGTTAAATACGTTTACAATATACACCAAATCGTATTAGTTTTTTATTCTTAACAAGTTTCTCATGACGCCCCTCGCATAATTTTTCGATCGAACAGACCGATTTGGAATTTTTACAGGAGTGTTCGAAGAAAATTATTGTTATGACTGTACAAAGAGCGACCGTTCGTGGCTGCCAGTGGCGTCCACGGTACAGTCGAGTCCCGTTAACGCTCTCTCCTATCTCATAAAATTCACTTTCGATTATCCATAACTTCTTTCTTGTTGGTTTAAGACGGATATTGTATACACCAAATCAGGCCAATTTTTTTTTCTCTACAAGTTTCTTATTATGCCCCACGCACAATATTGCAATTTAAGCGTCTGAATTTTCATTTAATGTCTACGGTAGGACAGCCTTATTGCAAGCGTCTGTACCGAAGCGACCGGTCCGGGTTTCGAGCGTCGGGCATGCAGTCGCATCGTATGACAATCAGGATGCGAGGCTTTACGTAAACAATTAAAAAAGGCTCTTCTTCATTCGGAGCAACGCTCGATATGGCATCGTCAAACGTATCTCCTAACGAAATTTATTTCGATCGTCTAAGCTTTTATATCTTCGTACACTTTGTGCGAAGGTTATAAGTTCACCAGAAACGCATTTATCTGCTATCTCTTTCCCTCTTTCTTTGATTCGTTGCTCAGTCCTTTTCTCTCTTTCTCTCTCTCTCTCTCTCTCTCTCTCTCTCTCTCTCTCTCTCTCTCTTTTGCTCTCGCGCTCTTTCTTTTCTTTTTCTTTTTCTCTCTATCTCAATCTCTATATCTATTCGTATCTCTATCTCTATCTTAAAATTTTCTTATTCTCTGTGACAGGTTTATATTCTGTCATATTTCTACAACGGAATATCCTATTTTCGAGATTCTTACGACCAATAAATAGTTAGATAAATGTATGTGAAAATGTTATGTGAAATCTTATCATATTATGACGAATGAATACGTGCATACGAAGAAAAGAAAACAAACAAATTTCTTGTATTTCAGGAACGATCGTCCTCGAGCATAATTACACCCAATCAGTGCGATATTTTATTAGGCCGCGACTGTTCGAAGCGACCACTTGGTTTCTTCGTTGGTTAGTACAGTAACGTTAAAAATTATCTCAATGGCGGTAGTAATACATAACCTTTAGAAGAGCATAACTCTTAAACGGTTAGTTTAAAATATTTACTGTCTTCACAAAATCGTATCAATTTTTTACGCTCTAAATATTTCTCATGAAGCGCTACGTACGATTTTATCGTTTAAACTTTACAAAAAGATTGTTTCGTTATATCTAAGATTATACTTCGATCATTGACTGTACTACATCTGTCGTATTTCTAATAGAAATGAATTTCTCTGCTAATCGTTATATAAATTTAATTTGTTTAAAATAAATAGATTATAAAATTTTTCGTATCAATATACGTATTTATTTCTTTTTAATATATCTCAAAAATGATATTTATTCTTGACACATGGACAACGTAATGCCACGCCACGAATGTTTAAATGCTTTAAAATGGCGGTTCTCTTTTTCGCGGATTCATCCTTTCAACTAACTATTCTATCCAATGATTACTCTGATATAAGAATAAAATGGATCATTTTTAAATACATTAATTATTAATATGAATAATTCAAAAAAATGCTACGAGTAGAAAATTTGACTTTTTTGACATAAATCAATAGTATTACGCATTTTCCCTAAAAATACCATTTTCCCTCTCAATTTCTTATTATTTCCGGTCGTTCAAGGCAGTGTTATTAATCTTAGTAAAATGATTATCTTTTTATCTGAGTAATATATATTAAATATCATCAAAATAATTTTAATTTATTTTTAACATCACAAAATAATCAATTATTGTTCCTTTGTTAACTAAACGAAGAGGCATATAGTTGCTGATTTGCTTCTGAAATATTGATATTTTCGCACTATTCATCGTAGCACGCTATCTGATGGCAACGTAGAATTTTGTACGATAAACGATACATGAGCAAGAAAAGAGCGGGAAATTTAATTTCAAAAAGAAATGAAAAATATCCCAAGATAAACATAAATAACTTATATGAAATATACAATCTTTCTTTATTAATGTTTACATTATATGATATAGATTTATATATATATATATATATATATATATATATATATATATATATGTAGATTTCAATCATAATAAAAATATTCATGATTCATGAATGTAACAATACATATTTTAACAATATATATTTTTTTTGCCAATTTAGTAATATTTACTTATTTAATTTATAATCTTATATATTTTGTCAATGATTTATAACTTATAAGTTTATATTTGTATTACTTTAAAATATAATGATAACTGAATATAGATACAATTTTAACTAACGTTATATTTTGAAGTGCTGAAGAAATGAATAAAAGAATTTATTCATATATAAATCACAGTCAATTTTGAAAATATCATATTAAGGAAAAAATGTAATGACAAAAATTATTGAATTCTACTACTTATATTAGTCATTTATATAATTTTATAGGATTCATGAAAAGATGAAGCATGGAAGAAAAAAATATTAAATGATTAATAATAATAATAATAATAATAATAATAATAATAATAATAATAATAATAATAATAATAATAATAAAAATAATAATAATAATAATAATAATAATAATAATAACGATAATAATAATAATAATTTATTGATTTACATATTTATATGTTTATTTCTATAGAATCTTTTTTGATTAAATTAAAATAATAAAAATATAAAATTTGTTTAAATATATGTTAATCTTTTAAGTTAATTATATGTTACACATAATTTAAATACTGATATTTCTTTGGTTACATTTATAATATTTACTTTGTTTCTATTACATATAAAGAAATACATAGAAAATTTATCTATATTATTACTGGAGAAAGGTTAAAACAATGTTTATAAAAAAATACTGTTTTTTTGCTATAAAACCATTGATATACAATATAATCCTTTGTATATTTTTTGATACATATAAAACTTATTCATGCAAATTCTAAAATTACTAACAATTGTCTTAGAATTTTATGTTTTTGCCACACAATAGCTATTATGTCAACATATTTCTTTTAAGCTTTCTTATTTTAATATCAAAATCATTGTTATATCATTTCCTTTTTATATACATACTGGTCATTTTTTTGTTTATATGTGGCTACAAATACAATATCTTTCTCTTCATCCGTCATCATAAATCAATTTATACATCTCATCTTCTGTTTCTGTTTTTACTTTGTAGAATTTCATCCAACTTAGAATCTATTACACTAGATTTTTTTGTACTTTTATAATAAAATATCTTGAATACCCTTTCGAATAGAATAAATCTTAATAAAAAAATCATTAGGATCAGATCATTATTATCAGATTTGATATTCCTTAAACTTCACATTTTCACAGAACCTGTTGAGCTTAGTTTATTACTTCATTGTATTTCATAGTCGTAGTTGATATTATAAGATATATTAAACTTATTTATTATTATAAAATATTGCAATAATAATCTTCAACTACGTGTATTAATTCTTCTTTCTTCTTCCCTGATATTTCTGTTAAAAATCTTATCAAATCTTTTCTTCCAAATATTCCAATGTTATTAAAATTCAGAGTTACTAATTCTCTGACATTAGAATATATCAATGTATGATAATCTTAACAACCACTGGCTCGTTATATGTAAATCCACAATTGCAAATATGTTAATCATTTAACTCTTCTGACATATTATTCTCTTCGCTAAAGAAATATATAATCCTTCTTCAATTAATCTTATTACAACTCATATTTCAAAAGTACATTATCATTGCGTGCTGCTACCTGGACTGACAGATTCTTAAACTAACTTAAATCGATGAATCAAACGTACCAATTATCGATGTCTTCCGTCGTATCCAAGACTTGATTGGTTATATTTAAACAATCACTTGAGTATTCATCAATATCGTATTAAATAACATTCTAAGAAATAATTGGATTATAAATAGATTAATTGAAAGTTAAAATAAAATGATACATGAATTAAATAATATGATACATGGTTAGAAAAGATTTTTAAATAATTTCCGAATTGGTCGTCGAACAAAAGAAATTTTGAATTTGCGACAGGAGTCTATTAATAGAAATGAATAGAAGTGAATAAATTGACAAAACAAAGAAAAGAGAAAAACAAAAAGAAAAACAAAAAGAAAAGAAAAAGAGAAAAAAATCCTTTTGACTGAATCAATTCATAATATTAAAATAATCCGATGTTAAGAATACGATGATCGCAGAAGTGTAGAATGAAAAAGTAAAAATTCGAAGGAAGATTTGATTGGTTGCGTCCGTTGATTCTGATCGACGACGCGATCCGCCAGAGCGCAGCACTAGCGCACTCGTGTCAGTACTCGATGGCGGCCGAGACGTGCCCACGAGCCAAGCCGTCTATGGCTTAGACGTCGTCGTCGTCGCCGCCGCCGTCGTCGTCGCCGTCGCCGTCGTCGTCGTCGTCGTCGCCGCCGCCGTCGTCGTCGTCGTCGTCGTCGCCGTCGTCGTTGCCGCTGCCGTTATTGTGGCCGTCGCCGTCGTCGTCGTCGTCGCCGTCGCCGTCGTCGTCGTCGTCGTCGTCGCCGTCGTCGCCGTCGTCACATTTTCAATTATCGTCAAAATCCGACGATTCTCTCACGAAACCTGCGTACGTCTGTAATCGCCGTCCTGTCTGTCGGTGAAGAAGCGTATTCACCGTCTCGAGATCACGCGTACTACTCACATATACCCCACTCCTTTAATTTCTCGTCTCGTGTATGTGCTTATTACGAGGATTCCCGTTTGGTGCGACGAGTCGGCGTTGTGTGTGGTGCGTGCGTGCGTGAGAGTGCGTGCGTGCGTGCATGGCTTGTGTATCGTGAAGCTTATAAGCAAATCGTCAACGTTCCGACAGTAAAGGAAAAAAAGAAAAAAGAAAAGAGAAAAAGAAAGGAAGAAGAGGAAAGAAAGAGGCCGACGAGAAAGAGAAAGTGCCAAACGCGATGTGCAAGCGCAACCGCTCGAATCGTCGCTCGGGCTCGAGTTGACCCTTCAAAGGATGGACCTCCTCTTCCTCCAGTTTGATCGAAGAAACGCATCGCCGTCGTGGCATTGGTAAACACGACCTCTACCGTTTACAAAAACAGTAAGTCACATGTACGTTTCCCGTTGTACGTTTTAAATCATTTTATTTGACTATTCGTAAGACAACCCCCGCCCCCTCTTCTTCCTTTCCCCATATTATCGCGCGCCTTTTTATCATCTTACAAGAGGGCACGCTTTCCATTTCAAATACATTTCGGTGTTTTGTTTTATTTTATTTTATTCTCTCTCTCTCTCTCTCTCTCTCTCTCTCTCTCTCTCTCTCTCTCTCTTTCTCTATCTCTATCTATCTTTCTTTCTTTTTCTTTCTTTCTCTCTCTCATTATTCGTGTCTAACGATCCTTTGACGCGCTGAAATCAAGGTAAGGGTGACGATCATGATATACTCCACTATGGCCTTATGATCTTTTTCTCTCTTTTTCTCATTATGTTTACGCGTCTAGCTTTGTCCATGCCTTTACCTCTCTCCTCTCTGCCACTTCTGTTGGTGTTCTCTCACTCTCTCTGATGCTGCTTCTGCAGTTTGCATTTTGCCCACGGGGCATAGGAATAAGGGGAAGAAGCACAAAGTAATACTTTAGACAAAAAGGGGATGAAGTCAGTTTGTAGAAGAAGCATGGGTCAACTGTGCTCTCTTTCCTCTTTCTTCTTCTCTCTCTTTCTCTCCTCTCTACTCTCTCCAATCATTCTCTCTCTCTCTCTCTCTCTCTCTCTCTCTCTCTCTCTCTCTCTCTCTCTCTTCTCTCTCTCTCTCTCTCTCTCTCTCTTTCTCCCTGTAGAAAAACACGTTGTCATGTGGTTGCTATGATGTTTTGATTGATAGCAACTCTATAAATGTTTTACAAATATATATTCAAGGGAAATAAAAAAGTTTTTTTTCAAAGTTACAAAGATTATATTTATGCGCAAATAATCTTGATTCTTACCGTACAATCTTTGTGTGTTTTATTTCAATATATAATTGAAAACATAGATACATACTTAAAGAATGTAAATTTGTATCCTAATAATTCTAATTAATTAAATAGATGACATATCAAAATAGATTTCATAATTTTAAGTATTATACATCAGATATTATTGTTAAATCGTTAATGAAATTAATCATTGATTTTAAGATATTAATGATGATCAAATGATCAAATGAATTTCTTCGTTTTTCTGCTTGTTTATTTATTCACTTTTAAATATTTATAAAATTAACTTGCTGGAACACTTAGCAATACTTGAATTATAAAAAGGGTAAAGAGTTCTCATAAATTAAAACTTAGATTTTTGTATATACTTTTGGAAGCAAGTGAAGACTTCTATTACAAACTTCTAGAAAAATATATAATATTTAAAAGATATTCATTACAAAATGTAGACAAATATAGTAAGATATTATTAATGTCCAATCATTACTATTCTAACATAGGTGATAGTACTTAGAAAAGATTATTTTATCATTTGATACTTTATACAAATAAATTTGAAGAGATATTACTTTTGTTTTCGCATCGATTGTAATAATCCTTAAGGTGGTATGCTGCGTTCGTTGAGCTTTAGCCAGTATTCATCTGAAAAGAATTTCCAATAAAACCGAAATACGTCGAGTGTTTTGTTTGTGAGAACGTGTGTAGTGGCGACGGTGATAGGAACGATGATTGTAAAACGATGGAGACCTCGAATGCAGCGGTAGTTTTATTTAAAGCAACGATGATTGTTTCGTTAGAAGTACGAGGCTTCTCTCTCTCTTTCTCTCGCTCTCTCTCTCTCTCTCTCTCTCTCTCTCTCTCTCTCTCTTTCTTTCTCTTTCTCTCTCGTTCCTCACGATGGTTTCTACGCGAAGGCAGCAGCGACATGCTGCATTTACCGCGCCACTTTGTCATGTAGGAGAGACTTGCCGTTTCTAAGAACACAGTCTGCCTTTAGATAATTTAAAAGAAGATTATTTTAGGTTCACGAGCTACCAAATCGGTAACGTGCTTAACACTAGTCAAAATCAAATGGTAAGATTTAATCGTAAGATCGTCATCGATCCGAACATGATTACTTCATTTATTTCCATTTTAAAATGAGAAATAAATAGTTCATATAATAGATTCGAAATACTAATAATAAATTTCTGTACAAATTATTTGTATCGAATCGTAAATTCTAACCGTATTCGTTAAGCGAAAGTAATTGACCAGAAAGAAAACGGTAGTCACCCCTTTTACTCCTTGTAATTATTCAACCCCCTTCTCTGTTTGTGTATGGGAGCGAGGGAGTATATAAGTTACTATACTGCGTATGGTAGTAGGACCTTTATTCCCGTTAACTTAACCTTACTTTTTGTTCAACGGGATATTAAAACAATCTATTTCTAATATATTCGCGCGCTTTTTCTTTTTTTCTTTTATTTTTTTTTTATTTATTTTTTTTTGTTTTTGTTTTTTTTTTTTATTTTTTTTTTGTAATTTGAAAATATTATTGAGAAAGAAGATTGAGATCTCGATTGATATAAATCATATTTAATTTATTAAAAAAACAAAAAAAAATGATACTTATAACTTTTTTATGATATCTGAATCAAAATACGATTAATTTTATCTATTTTAAATCTTTCTTCTTTTTCGTATTATTTCCTTTATTCCCTCGTGAATAGTTAAAGCGAGTGTTATGATAGAAATAGAATTTTTTTTTTTTTCTTTTTTTCTTTTTTTTTTTTTTTTTTTTTTTTTTTTTTTTTTTTTTTTTTCTTTTAAAGGTTATTATATAGCTGTGTTATAACCAACAGGAACTGGTTTGATCGTACAATGCAATACGTATTTTAGAATGTTGGTGCATTTCTAAGATATAGTATAGTAATACGGGCTCATCGACATCTGGGAATAGTAACGTCGGGGCGGAAAGCATCAAAGGAGTCCTTTGAAGTTTCAGTTGATGTTCCTGAGCCGATTCCTCTTCGTTACCCGTCTTTTTTGTCACACCCTCGTTTACTCGCGCACTTACTGATCCGTTGGGTATCGCCATGATCTCTCGATACTTACCGATTTCAGATCTTCAAAGTATTCCCTCGTCCGTTTTTTTACGAAATCAATCAATTTTTGGAGTAACATTTTAATATGTCTTCAAAATTAAATATTTTTTAGCTATATACAAAAGGTTACAATCATTCGAAACAATCAATTTGATCTTATTATTATTTATTTTTATTTTTATTTGCTTATTTATTTTTTTTTTTTTCTTAATCGACAAAAATGAAACCTCTTTATAAATAATATAGGATGTGATTATTTAATAATTTTTTGTTTTTTTATTTACTTCGACAGTACATATATTAAAACACTAATAACATTTAATTATTTTTTAATCGAGAAACATCAAGCTTTGTATTGAATGATATGATACAGTAACATACACACTTGGTTTTTAATAGTTGCTTCGGCAGTACATCTATTGTACTAAAATGCTAGTAATTTTTTTTCTTTTTATTTTTTTTAATTTTTTCTTTTCATTTTTATTTATTTTTGTATTTATTTTTTTATTGTAACAAATAATATAACTGCAATAAATATGATTATTTCGTATCATTAATAATTTTTTTGTATATACTTTGATAGTATATACATATAGTAAGATACTAACATTTTCTTCTATTTTTTTTTTGTTTTTTTTTTTTAATTTAAAAATTTTTAAATTTTTGTTTTACTTATTTTTTTTTTTTTTAATCAAACTTTCCTATAAACAATATAAGTCGAATGAATGCGATTATTTAATAATATTTTAATTGGAAAACTTTGAAAAATTCTGAATGAAATTATACTTTTAATTCATAATTTTGTAAGAACTATTATAAATGATGAGCGTCCACCGTATATATTTTTCCATGTACTGATTTACTAACTGTATAAAACTCTGGATTACTTCGATTGATTATAGGTATCAATGAATGCCCAATGCCAATTAATATATATATATATATATTACTATAAACTATATATTTACACTACTTTATAATTGTCATCGTTAACTCCTCTTTTCTATCAAGAAAAAGAGAAAAAAAAATTGAATAAAAGAATACGAAAAGGAACAGTTAATTTGATAATTTGAAAATTTAGATTTTTAGAAAAAAAATAAAAAAAAAAAAAATAAAATGAAATCAAAAATTTGTTTTTAATTTAATTGCTAAGAATATGGTATAACACATCTTGTTTCTTCAATAATAAAAAAAAATTGTAAACAATCATTCTTATGTAAATATTCTTTATTTCTATATAATTGTTTTAATAAAATTTCTTTCGTGACATTACAATTAGAAAAAATTAATAATTAGAATATAAATTAGAAGATTAGATTAATAAGATCAAGCTATGATCAATTATTGAGTTGTTCGGAAAGTTTGATTTTTGGTAGATGGAGTAATAACAAAATTGGCACGAACTTTTCGGACAACCTAATAATAATTAGAAATTTAGAAATCAATAATTAGAAGATTGGAAGTATATTTTTAAATAAAAAGTAATCTAATTTAAAAAAATATGACAATTAGAATTCTCTTCTATGTTTTTATCAAGAAAAAAGTTATGATAGATTATAACAAATTTGTATCCACCTGCGATGGATAATAACTTTATTTATTCCCTCTATATTTTAATTTTTTTTTTTTTTTTTTTTTTTTTTATTTTCAAAATTAGATTCAAATGATTGGGCTGGCTCTGTTCATAATCTCGTATGAATCCTTACAAAAGTACTGTTAAAGTCTTTAGATTTTGAAATTACTATTTCGCTCGTATGAAGTCTCTTATTGAAAAAAAAAAAAAAAAAAAAAAAAAAAATTTTGCTATTTTTTTTTTACGTGTTTTAATAATTATAACCCATTAAAATCTTACAAGTCTGACTTTATTTTTAATATTTTGAAAATATTGATATTACTTAATATCGGCAAATCTAATATTATAATGTTATGTTTCATGCTATTTATCATAATACAATTAACATAAAAACACACACAATCATTTATCCTGTTAATTTCCATTAGGAAGTAATTCGACGCAATTTTGAGAACATTTTCTCTTAAATAGTTAAAA